AGTCTGTGGAAGTCTATTGACACTGGAATTAAGCTATTGTGATTTTGGAGAACTTTAAAATGGCCTAGGAGAATACTCAGTGTTGAAAGCTTTGCTTTCCGCTAATCCCCATGCTTTTTCTTTTCTGTATTGGCACTTTCTTGGCTACTTTCCACCTGTTCCTTTTTTCCTTCTATTTCTTCTTTTGCCGTTTTAACCGTAGATTTCTTCTGGGCAGCCTAGACATTGGACCCTCCCATGGAGAACTGTTTATGATTAATTTCAGCAAGAATGGCTCATTGAAGACGCACATGCAAGAATGAAAATGCAAGGCCACATGCGTACAGGCACACATTTCTGATGTGTTTTCTGCCCTCAACTGGAAGCTGCTTCAACTGATAACTACACAATTGTTCCTGCTGATTCTAGATAAAGTGAGGTCTAAGAGCCTCCAGCCTTGGCACCAGCTTGCCCACAGTCAGCAATGGAGGCTCTGTGTCCCTGGCATTGGGTAGCAGGGTTGTTTTGCTTGTCCTAGGTCTGCAAAATTCATCCCCACTGCAGAAGAAGCAAGCATTTACAGGAACCCCTTCCTGTGGTGGAGGAAAGTGAAGCTCTATAAACTGTCCAAGAATTTGCAGGGCCATTGTTCCAGCACAGATTCTTCCTGCCATGCTGACATCTCATAACCAGCACTTCCAGTTCGAGTCCCAGCTGCTCCACATCTGATCTTGCTCCCTGCTGTTGTGCCTGGGAAAGCAGCCAAAGATGGTCCAAGTGCATGGGCCCCTGCCATCCACATGGGAATCCAATATAGAGTTCCTGGCTTCAGGCTGGACCAGACCTCGCTTGTAGGGGTCTTTTTGAGAGTGAACCAGTGGATGCAACCACTCCCTCTCCATCTCTTTCTGTTACAAGTTCTGTTTTTGAAATTAAGTATATTGCCCATGGTCACAGAGCTAATCAGTGGAGAGTTGTAATTAAGACTCCAGCCTTGCACCTCCCAGGCAGGAACCTTTATTTTCCAAGCTGCCTCATCTTTCTTTATTCCTTTGGCAGTGACGCAGAGGACACACAGGATGGAGTCAAGGTTGGGGTGTCTTTGTAAAAGAAATAAGATTCTGGGTATCCCTAGGGAGAAAGACTAGGTGGAATCCAGCACCCCCAAGCCTGCCGCCAACAGAGTCCCACCCTCATGGAACACCAGGGGAGGCTCTTCAGGGTGGATCCTAAGTCCTCAAAGCCCGAGACCCTGAAGAACACAGCCCAGGCCACATAAAATCAAATGCCAGCCTTTTAGTCACCGCCCACCCCCACCCACCCACCCACTAGGCTTGTTTTCTTCCCCAACCTGCCCCTCCCTGTGTTCTAAGTAAGGCTGAAATGAAGTTATTCCATCCAAAACTAGAAGGAAAGAAAAAGGGAGAAACGGTAAATGTCAAGTGACAGGTATTTTTAAGTAACAGATTATATTCTGCATGAATCCATAGGGATGTCTTGGACAGAGAAGAGGTGCTTTCTCTCCTGTCACTGTTTTCTCACACCATTCTCGGGGCTGTTATCAAGGGTCATGCAACACTCAGATGCTAACAGTTAAATTGATCAAGCATAAAAACAGGGCAGTTGCTGCCCCAAGGATCTCATCTCTGCCTCCCCCAGCCCCAAGTCAGAGACAGCTGCTGAGCAAAGTCACTGGCAGGCAGCAGCGGGAGTCCTGTCCTCTTCTTTGTTTTGTGCATTGTCTGAAGGAGGAGCCCACGCCGGCTGGGCTCACCTTCTTAGGCAGACAAAACATCTTCTTTATCTATAAAGGAGCCACTTAGATCAGCAAGACTGGCCACAGGATGTCACTGTTACTCCACACACACACACACACAGACACACACACACACACACACACACACACACACACACACATCAGTAAGGCAGCCCTTCCCGCAGGGCTTGGATCTGGCAGGGACCTGGGCTCCCCTCAGCCTCCCTCTCACAGAATTGCTATCCCCTCAGGTGGCAGCCACCAGCCAAGGCGCATGCCCTGCAAAATCCATTGCAGCCTGACCCATTGTCTCAATATGCGTATTGTTCCTTCTCAAAGGGGAAAGGAAAGGGGAAAAAAGTGAAAAGATAAAAGGCACCAGTGTGGTCTCTCACACCACAGGTTCTCCAAGAGATGGACTTTGAATGTTTTATGACCTTGGATAAAACCAATGTCCTTTTTATAGGGTTTACAGTCTTGTCAAAGGGTGAGACTATCTTTGCTTATCTTTGTTTTCTACAATTTCAGGAGAGGATATAGGATATTGAAGCATTTCTTGGACTCTTATCTATTCAAAGCACCGCTTTCTATTTGAGCCTGAGATGAAGCAAACATTAGTTAAGCACCTTCCCTTTACCCTTATAAAGCACGGAACCCTGTCCTACCCCCTCAGACACACAATGCCTCCTAGACCACAACAGACAGGTTGATGCTGTGAGGGTAGGGAGACACAGCCATAGCCACTGTGGCAGTAGGGAATTTCTTTCCATTTGTAGCTGCCAGCTAGTCTTCCCTCCCTGTGACAGATCCTCAGAGAGATGGTTTTGACCCACAGCTTTGGCACAGCCCGGTGCCCCTGCCATTTTCTTCCATTCATCTCTGTGTACATTCTGCCCGTAACTGGCACAAAATATTTAAGGCTAAAATTTTAGACTAACATAACCAACAAAAAGGGGTATATTGGGTGGTCAGAGACATTTGACAATGTAACGTTAAAAGTAATTACAGAACAGGGGCAGGTGTTTGGTCCTGCATTGAAGATGCCCATGGCCTATAACAGAATACTTGAGTTCAATACTGGGCTCAGACTCATGATCTCTGCGTCTTGCTTACTCAGATCCTGTGAGAGATTACTAATGAAATCCTTGTCCCCAATATGGCTGGTTCCCAGCTTTGGCCCTGGCCCAGGTCAAGCTGCTAGAGGCACTTGGGGGAATAAACAGCAGATGGGAGATCTCTTCCCAGCCCCTAGACTCTCAAATAAAACAGGCTTTGTCCTAAAAAGAAAAAAAAAAAACACTATACCTTAGCCTGGAAATAACTTTTATTTCAATGCAAGCCATGGCAGCTGAAAGCCCTCTGCCATAAGCCATCGTGCCAAAGCAGCAGAAAAAAAAATAATTAAAGCAGTCAGTTGTTAGCAGAGCAAGTATTAATGAAAGGAAACCAATTGTTCCAGCATTAGTAAGGATCTGTATAGGAACTAAGAGCTAGGGCTACTTTAACTATAGTTCAAGAAGACTTTGTTCAGTTCCACACTGACCATTTTTTAGAGCATGCCAATCTCAGTTTAAGGGAGCAGTTACCCCACCCAGTTGAACTGGTTCACAGCAGTATGGAATATGTGCCATCATGAGATGGAAGGAAATCATTGGAACTAAAGGGAAGCACAAAGAAAAGAGATTAAAGTGGACCGCAAAGAGAAGCCAGTCGGGGATAACTGCGTTAACTACATTTGCATTGGAACTTGAGCAATCCCCAATTGTCAGAATAAAATAATTGCACTGTCCTATAATTATAATGTGTTTCTCCCTAGAGGGCAACACGTTGCAGTGGATTTTGGAAGTCTCGAATTTGGGACTTCTTCTCTTTTTCAGGCCAGGCATTTGCAGTACTTTTGAGTGAGTTCTGTGAGACTCCAGTGAATTCTCAAGCCTTAGAGAGTCTGTGGGGATCCCTAAGTTTCTACCCCATTAGTCAGAAGTAGGAGTGTTTTTAGGAACCCCCAAACTTGCAGTCTGTGTCAAGTCTTAGGCACAATTGGAAGCTTGCAGTTCTGTGCCCAGCTTAGGCAGTGTGGCCTAACTGTGAATTGTTTCAATAAAGGGAATGTGCATGTTTCAGGCATACAGAAGAGGAACAGCTCACTCAGAGAGCAAGGAGAGAGACCCCAGGGTGGACTCCAGCACCTACAAGAAAGAGAGCTAAGCAATGGAACTCAAGGAACTCTAGTCCATTCCATAGAGCACCTTTTTATGTCCAGCAAATCACTCTTTTTTTTTTTTTTCATTGAAAAACTAGCTATGTGGACCACTGGAGATCACAGCCATTGTAGCCATTTGGGGAGTCAACCAGCAGATGAAATACCTCTCTCTGTTTCTCTTTCTCTCTACTTAAAAATACACCTTTTAAATAAAAAGAACTTTTAAAAGGGTGCATGCTATAGGCAGACACATTGTTAGCAAGGTTATGGGACTGCTGGGCTGATGACAGAGTGGTGGGAATGTGGGGGAAAGCAAAGAGATCACCATGGGGTTCCTGCAAAGTCCAGGTGAGAGGAACAGGTCATTGGAATGCAGCTTATGTGGGCACATAGTCCAAACCTGGATATTATTAAAGTTTGAAAAGATAGGACTTGCTGACAAATGAGACTGGGAAGTAAGAGAAAGAAGAGTGAAAGATGCCACCACATTCTTCCCTAGCTACTGGCAAGAGGCCACTTCCTGAGATGGAAAAGCTTGGAAAAGAGCAGTTCAGTTGAATTCAGTTCATGTGGATTCTGAGAAATGGGTTGGACATTCATGTTCGCTCCTTCTGCTGGTGAAGTCACAGTTTCATGTATTTGGTGATGAGTCTGAAACCTGGAGGGGATGCCCAGCCTGGCAGATGCCAACCCTGGAACTAATGACACATATGTCGCACTTAACCTACAGGAGGAATGAGATCGATGAGTGAAGACGGAGGCACACGGGGACACTCAGTATACACCGAGTGTCTACAGTTAGCATCGATACCAACTGCCTTCCATTCATCATGTTCTGCTCCAGCTCTGCTCTCTCGAAATCCAGGTCTGAGCTCATTCTGACACTTAGTCATGGTAGGACAAGATGAATTTGAACTTGAGATGAAATAGTAAAGTGCATCTGGCAGGAGCAGTGTTGAAGAACCAGGAATTATTCCTGGGGCTGTGGAAAACTTAAATGGAGCTAAAATGTCCTAAATTGAAAGTAAGGGACCAATGAAGGCCAAGACTGCAGCTGGGCACAACGTTTATGCCTCTTGCCCATCCTCTGTCCTTTTCTGCGTGGAAGCCATAAATTGCCATTTTTAAAATCACCTCTACTGGGACACCGACATGTGCTTCCTCTGTTTACAGTTGACAACTTCTGTGACTTTACTTTAATAATAAATTTGATGCAGTTTAAATTTTTTTAATATTAACGAGTCGCCTGAATCCCTTCAAGCTCCGCAAGATCTCCACTGTTGACACAGGTCTTTCTTCTTGTAAAGCCAAACTCACAAATACACACCCAAATGTGATTCCAACTGAACAACTCTGGAACAAATGTACAGATCAAGAAGAAAACAATTTGTCAATCCACGAGTTCTTTGACTCCAGATCAAAAAGAAATCTAACCAGCAATGGTCCCATACCCAGGGGAGCACAAAACCAATCGTAAGGACCCAAACGTTTGCTCCTCCCGGAGGCACAGGCAGGGTGGCAGAGGGACCAAGGGGAGAGGAGACTGTTGGGAAAATGCTCCATGGATTTGTTGTCTGGCAGGGGGCAGGGAGTGAGTCTTCTCAAATCGGAGAGAGTTAAGCAAGAGTAGCCCATTCCAAGTGGCAGCTTCTTCCCAGTGCTTTTGTATCATGGTTCCTCCATTTTGGAATCACAAAAGCCAGCAAGGGGAAACAAGAGCCTAGAACAGTTTTCCCCTGACAACTATAAAGCTGGGCGGTCCCAAGCTCAATCTAAAGCTGATCAGCAATCCAGAACGGTGTCTATACCACAGTCAACTGCTTCTGAAGCTTAATAAATATCATTTAGGTGTGAGTCATCTGATATTCAAGTCCAATCCTTTGTGATTGGTAACAAGATGCATTCTCACAAACTAGGAGTTCAAGTTCTCCCCAGCGTTTGGAACATTGGTGCCCCAGTCAAAAACATATCAATGTTCTGAGCCAAGAGAGGTGATGGAAAAGCTGTATTACCGCCGGTGTGGATCCTAGGGCTGGTGGCTTGTATCTGTGGACAGCTGGGCTTTGCTGAGCCTGTAGGCTGGATAGACTAGTCCCTCCAGCTACAGGCACACAGGGGAAAGTAGAGTGATACAGACCAGAACCCAAGCTCCCTACAGGCAACCTCGCTCTAGGGAGGCATGGGATCAGGGTTTGAGATACATGCCCCCTTTTCGCCTTCCAAATCCACCGTCAGATGAAATCATCCTCTTCCCTTTAGGGAGGAGCAAGAGGATCACGGAGATCCTAGAAGCAGAAGTGGGGTCCGGAGGGAAGAGGTGCTTTCCATTCCCTTGTTGTGTTCCACATGGAGCCTCACAGTCTTCTTACCGGCAGGACAGAACGGTAATGTCTCAAACGGCAAATTATGTGCAAAGCGTCTGGCACAGTGCCTGGAACATGGTAGGTACTCCAAAATGATAGCTATTATGATGGAGGGGAATGAAAGGGAGGGAGAGAAGGGGAAAGGGAGGGGGATGCAAACCCACTGGGGAGGCAGGGAGGTGGAAAACGCCTAGCCAAAGAGCCTGTAAGTGTGAGACAGCGCGAGTGTGCAAGCTCATGGAACGCACAGGGGATCAGGGAGACGAGGTGCTATGGGGAACAATGTGCATCTGCAGTGTGCTAAGCCAGACTCACTGCAACCCGGTGCTGTGCTGAATGAAGTGGAAGAAACGCTATTAAATCCATGACTCCATGAGGTAATAATACTCCCAGCGAGCCCACGCCTACAGAAATACACCCAGCAAGCGGGCATTCCAGGAGCCCCCTCTAAGTTATAACAAGCTGCCTATCTCCTGCTGCCAGGATGCAGAGAAAAAATGAAAACCAGTTACGGACGACATTATACACGTAGTGACCTGCATCACCTCCCTCGGTTTAGTGACGAGCTTGGCTGCCTTTTGGGCACGGAGAAAGAAACATAAGGCAGAGATTAAGTTTCCTGGCTTTTGAAGGCATCAAGAGTCAAAAATGCTTTCAGCTGGCATTTCCCTCTGTTATTCAGTCAGCTTTGATGGATTTATTTTCTTTGCCCTACTTCGTTGAAGTTACTGAGGTCAATTACTACAAAAAACGACTGCCAGGGAGTAATCTGAGCACGAGGTGGCGCTGTCTCCCCAACTGTTTCAGTTCTCTTTAAAGGAGAAAGTGATTTCATTAAAACACTCCTTGGAGCTTTCTAACGTGCAGTGAGAGTGAGGAATTCAATGGTCAGAAAGGCACTCACTGACTTTCTCCAGTCTGTGGGTCTTTAAGCCCCGGGAGGGCGGTAGAATTCTTTACACACTTCACACTCTCACAATTTTATTTCTCTTTGTAGCGAATAGAGCAATTAGAACGTAGCACCGCGTTCCGATATTCGTAGTCAGCAATAGGCTTTCTTGTTCATTTCAGACTTGGGCATTTCGATTTGTCTTACAAGCTTTTTGTTTTCTTATGACAAATTAGGAGTGACAGTCCAAACCTGGGGTTAAATCCTATTAACAGTGTATCTCACTGGAGGAGATCACTATGCCTGCTTCAAGTCCAAGATCTTGCATCTGGATTAGAACCTAGGGTCATGGCCAGGAGAATGGGAGCCTTGCAGTGCAAGCTTAGGCTGCGTGTTCTTTTCCTGTGGAATATGGGGCGAGAGTAGCAGCTGTGGGGGCATTTTTGCTATGAAGAGAAGGTTCTGCTCACGTGCAGTGAACCACACAAAGACACAATGAGACCCCATCCTGACTGCTGATGCATGGCTTTTACATGACACACCCCTGTCTCCTTAAACCCAAAGATCTGCCTCTGTCTGGATTGGTATCCATGTTGCACACATTTCAAGGATCAAGAGTATCACTTAGCAGAGTGGACACTAGCAGGACGCCACCTAGGGGCCAACACACCGCCTCCTGCCCAACATTTGCCCTGGCTCCTGGGGGTGGGGGGCATGGCAGGGAACTGGGTGGCACACTCCCAGACTCTACCCTTCAGATCTTTCCTCTGAAGTGTTCCCAATCTCCCCGCCTCTCCCCCTCTCTCCCTGTTCTGAATTCCCAGGCTCTCAAAGCAGGTTTCAGAGCAGATTCACACTACCATCTTCTGACCATAATGTGTGTAAGCCATGAGTATAGGAACAAGTTGGAGCTTACATCTAAAATCAGAGTATTCTTTATACGTACAAATCTCATTAACCAAGCATGGAAAACTGGCATTGGAGTTCATCCATGTTAGATTGTTTTCTGTTTTACACATCCTCCAGCTTCAAACACCGACAGGTGAGGCTGCTACCCAGGCCTCTCCCCAGTTTCCTAGGGAAATTAAAAACTTCCGCAGTTTCTCCGTCATAATGAGCTGCCTGAATCCACCAATTAGGACTCTTCTTCCAAGACCCCAGCTTCTCAACCCCAATTACAGGCAAATGTCTACTGTTTCAGGGGTTTTAAAAAAAAACTCTTTATGCATTCACCAAGTGTGAAAATCTCTCCTAATATCACCAGACATCAATTTTTAATCAATTAAAGAAGAAACTTGAGAATTCCCGGGAGAAGGAGATCAAGGCACAAAGTTATCTCACTTTTCAAAAGAAATGAGATAATTTGTTCATTGATTCATAAAACATATATGTGAATATTTATTATTATTATGTTTATTTTTGTCAGGAAACTTGAGTCTTGGAGGACACGATGAATCAATCACATACAATTCATAAAAATTCTGTAAGTAACTGAACAAATGGGTGATTTATAGCATTTCAATGGTATTTTAACAGATGTCACTGACACCTATTCTGGCTGTGGAAAATCCTTGATCCTGACCCGTAATGCCTTCTACATGATTCAAGTTCATTACGAAAAGTTCACGCTGCTTAATGCTTTACTGCTTACCAGCATGTCCCTTCAAAACAGTTGGGCCTCTGAGCGATTCACAGTATCTAAAGCCATGAAATCAAATATCAGATGAAAAGCGAACCAGGCTGGACCCAGCCCAGTAAGGCAAACTGGAGAGCAAACATCAAGTTCCTTCTAAAAGGGCCAATGGTTGCTTAGAGGAACTAGACTGCATTGCGAGACCTTCCGATTAGGAAATGAGCATTGCCAAGTGAAATCTCTGATTTTTAAATGATAATGAGAGATCTTGCTAGAACACCATCCAGGCCAAGTAAAACATGTTTATGGACTGGACTCAGGTAGTCAGAGGCCTCTGAGGTACAGTTTCAAACTAAATGCACCCTTTACAGAGAGTAATAAACCTAAAACACAAATAGTTCCCAATTTCCTGGCTCAGAGTAGCCGTCTTCATAGCTACAAAAAATTATTCGTAAGTGAGAATGTCAGATAGCCAAGCACAGCACTGTCCTACCGACACAGTCCCTGCATACCTCTGACATTTCAATCAGCTTATGCAGAAATCAGAACTAAAGGTGAATAAGAACCGTTACAGCAAATACTATCTGTATTGGTTTCTTTTTGCTAATGTTTTTAGTTAAATGAAAAAGGGGTTATTTTAACATCTGTACAAGGTTCCTTCTTGGGATATATAAAGTTAAGATTTTTTAGCAGAATATAATAAAGGTTTAAATAAATTAATGCACATTATCAAAACAAACCTGTAAAATAATCTAAAGTATGGATCCCCAATTACTACCATATTAAGGTAAAGAGGAAAAATGGTATTTTCTATCATGTATTCGCTCAAACATTTTAGGATCTTCTGTTGCCTGGACCCTCAGAATTCCTTGGCTTCCTAGGGTGTTTATCATTTTGAAGGCTTTTGAGCACAGAGTAGTCCTTTTAATAAATACTTCTCAATATCTATTTAATAAATGCTGCTCTCTAACAAATGTGTCATAAAAACAGCTTGGTCTTCTGGGAGTGGCAACATGAAGATGTTGAGTGCGTTCCTGTTAGAGAAAACTAGCATAAAAGTGGGCAAAATTACTTTCAAAAGGAACAATTAAGTAGGCAGAAAATAAACAAAGAAACTTTTTTTTTTTTTTGGAATACAAAACCTACTAAAGATTTGCAAAGAGTGGTAGAAGTCCATAGCCTGTGCTG